TTTCTGTACAGATGCAGACACTGAGGCCCAGAGAGGTCTAGCATCCCCTAGTAAAGAGACAGAACCCTGCCCCACATTTTTGGGCTCCCCCTCCAGAGCTCCTCTGGCTGTACTGTGCTTGGGTCAGGAGGAATCAGTGAGGAAATGGCTTTATCTGCAGCTAGGAAATATCGGGACCAAACTCCAGGCCCAACAGAGAGAAGATGTAGTCTGGTCTGAGCCGATTGCCAAACCAAACCTTCTGTGTACCCTTCTGGAACTTACACCTCCTCCCATTTCCCCATCCAGCACAGGGCTCTGCTCTCACAGCCCCCTGAGCATACCTCCAGAGGCTTGCCCCCCCAAGTCTTGGCCAGCTTCCCCAGGACCTGCCTGCACACAGCATCGGGCCTTGAGCTCTGTGGGCTACCAGGGCCTGTGTGAGTGTCTGAATTTCAGATCTTAATGTTACATATTTATCCTTATGGAAATAAAAAATATGATTAATATAGTAAACCCATGATTTTACAGAGTATTGCTTTGAATGAGGGTATGTAAAAATAAAGTGATTTCAATAACAATACATAAATTATTTAGATGGAACACGGATGAGACTTAAAGTATCTGGTAACTGAAGTTGGGGACACGCTCAGGGAGAGTCTGAGAGCACCAGGTCACAGGAGGCCAGGCGGGTGAGGCCAGGGTCGGTGGCAGGGACCTGAGATCAGGGTTGGCCAGGCCCTGGCCTGCAGGCCGCCACTGCCCCATCCCACATCCAGGCCAGCAGTGTCCCTGGATCACGCTGTTCTCACTGCTATCAGTAGGAATTAGCCCACCACAGAGGAAGCATTTGCCCCCAGAAGCAATCTAAAAGGACTCTGTTTCAGGGAGCCGGGAAGTCAGACTCTGCTCTGTCTCGCACAGAGTGACCAGCTGTGGCTAAGTGATTTCGAGGGGACTTTCTGACCAGCCAGCTCCCCGGGCCTTGGCGGACAAGACCCTGGCTGACCTTCCACTCTCTTTTTCCTGGACAGTCTGAAAATGGCCCTTTCTGGATATAAAGGCAGAACAACTGATGAGGCTGGCTGTCTTGTGGGTGGCCAGAGAGGTCAGGACCATGGTTGGCATGGCCTGTTGGAAATCTCGGAGACCAGAGACCTGTCCTGGCCACTGTTCTCTGGAGCCTCAGTCTCACCCTCCGTAAAATGGGAGGTGGTGGCGGTTTGCTCCCAGGGTTGCCAAAAGGGCTCTGAGGGCCATGGGCCAAGCGTCCCTCAGAGAAGCTCTCTGCACAGCTAGTGGTGAGCCCAGTCCCCACCCGGGGCCCCCCTCAGCCACCCGCCGCCGCCGCCGCCACAGTGTCTATGTGAGGTGATGGCTGCCAGAGATCTCGCGCTCATCTGCCCTTTTATCGCCCTGAACACAATCAGGGGAAGCCTGGAAGGCTGGGGGCGCGGGCAGATGGAAAACAGAGAAAGAAAACAAAGGGCCTGCTCCAAGGAGGCCAAAAGGCAGGGTTGTGTCCTCGCTCTGCTGTGGCCTGGCCAGCCCGTCCCACCAGCACCAGGCCTTGACTGCCCCTGGGGCTGCTGGCGACCTGTCCCACCCCTACAGAGACTGGCCTTGGGCCTCACGCAGGGTCACCGCTCCCTGGGTGGCCCTGGGGAAGCCATGTTTCTCGTGTCTATAAGATGAAGGAGTTGGACAGCATGCTACATGACCTTCAGCAAAGCCCCCTCCTCACCCCTGACTCACGGTCTCTTTGGGTGGGCCCAGCCCATCTCTAGGATACCTCCCCAGCTCCAGGAAGACCGTGGGGTGCCCACTTCTGCCCATTGAGAGGACCCCAGCATGCTCTGAACAAAGTGAGAAAGTGGGGGGTCCCTGTTTACCGTCACAAGGTTGGTGCTGGCACGTGAGGATTTGTGCGGAATGAGTGGTTTAAGCAGAGGGGGCTTCACGCAGTGTCTACCCTTGGTCGCCGCTGCTGTCCAAGGCTCTGCATCAGAGAAAAGGCTCCTGGGCCCTCCAGAGCAGGACCCGGGAGCACTGGTTGCGGGCTCATAGCTGCACCAGCGCTGGGCTGTCAGGGTTCATATCCTGCCTGTGTGACAGCGGGCTGGTTTCTGAACCTTGCTGTGACTATGTCCTCGCCTGTTAAAATAGGCAGGGTACCTACCTTGTAGGTTGTGGGGAGGTTAAATGAGTTCATTCACATCAAGTACTTAGAGTGGTACCAGGTCAAGGCCCGTTAATGTTAGATATTATGTTCATTGGCAGTTGCACCACTGTTATTGATCAGAGGCCGACTGGCCAGGAACTCATGAAGCTCCGGCCTCTGGGCCCCACCCCTGCACCGCCCTTGGGAAAGTGGGAGTTCTGCGGGCGGCGCTGGAGTGTTCTAGGTGGGGCGGGCCTCAGGTTGATGTCGGGAACATTCCTGTGTGAGCATCTCTGGTAAATGGTTTAGAGTGGCCCAGACTCCTGAGGTTCTAGGAATGTGATGGTGTTTTCCTTTCTCATTTTAAATAAGTATCTGTAGTTCTATATATATTTCTAAAGAGGACCCTGAAATAGTAAATTCTTTGGGCCCCATGAGCCTGGACCACCCCCTGCTTATTCCTGTTGCCTTTACTGCACTTCTGAGGCCTGGCCCTGTGTGGCCTGGCCCGGGGCCTCGGGGATAGAGGGACCTAGCTTCTCACCTTGTAGTCTCGGCCCTGAGCACCCCAGACTGCGAGCCACACTGCACACCCAAGGCTGAGGGAACCCTAAGGAGAGCAAGCAGAGAGAATGGGACCCTGAAGGAGCCGCTGGAGGGGCATAGCCCAGAGCCCCATGCCTGTGGGCAAACGTCCCTGCGCTGCCGGCCAGAGCCCTGTCCCCCCTCCTCCCCTGCCCCTTCTTCTGTGCTATGTGGGCCCCAGTGGGCAGGCACAAGGGGCGGTTGGGGTCGTGGGAAGCAGGTTGCTGAGTTGGAACAGTTGCCCCTGAGGCTGTCACCAGGGTGGCTGGCTGTGTGCCAAGTCCTGGGTTTCAGCCGGGTAGAAGCCCAGCCTAGTCCCTGCCCTCTGAAAGCTCGCAAGGTAGCTGGAACCACAAGATTCACACCTGGAAGGGCATAGAGTGGGCAGGGGGAGGTGGGATTAGACCCTGTTGCATCAGACATCATAAAGACAGGAGGTGAGCGAGCTCAGAGATCACGAGGGCTACACACTTGTGGAGGGCCTCCTGGAGGATGGGCCCTCACCTGGAAAGCCCCCTGGAGGAATGGGGGCTATGGACCCTCGCCGCATCACCAGCGGAGGGGCCTCTGGGCCTGGGCTCTGACAGGGACATTTATAACTCACAGCTGTGCGGTCCTGGGCCCAACTGACTGTGGTAAACCGATCAGCCTTCAGGAAGTCAGTCCCGAGGCCACTCCCCACCCCGACCCCACACTCTCCTTCACCTCCTGACACCCACATCCTGTTCTCAGCGGGAGGGGCAGGCACCGGGGCACTGGGCTGGGGGCCCAGTCAGGGTCTCCAACCTGTAGGCAGAGTGGGGAAGGATGGAAGGGCTCAGTGAGGCCCAAGAACCACAAGGCTAGACCTCCGGTGTCCTCAGGCTCTACCCCTCATGGCATACCTGGGCACACTCATTCCATTCTAGAGCACCAGAATGGGCACCCAGAGCCACAGAAGCTCAGAGGGGGAGGCATTCTGTGCTTTCAAATCTAACCAGAGAAGAGATTATGCTTTTAGCCCCTGATGACCAACTCTGGCCTGAGGGATCCTGGTGCAAGGGGCAGATGGGAACTAGAGATCTCAATACTGAGAAAAGATGCCATCTTGGACCCTGGTCCTCGAGTGTGGCCTGCAGCCCTCCACTGGGACACCCCATCCTGGGGCCCCATTCCTCACAAGGCCTAGTGCCCACCTGACTAGCTTCTCACAGCCAGGTTCACCTGTGGGGAGAGAAATGGTCTCGCCCAGTGCTGTGAATAAAGGACAGTATTAAGTTCCTAGCACATCATGTCTCTGACCTCCTTATACTTCCCCTGACCTTATTTGCTAGTGGATTCTGGGGGCCTGTGAGCCATCTACTCCTCCCCGTGACTCTTTCTGTGCAAGGAGAGGGCTGATAAGCAACAGTGAGTTTGCCAAAGCTTGGCCCATGTAACTCCGGTAGCCTGTGACAAGATTCTGGAATTCGGTAGTAAATGAAAGACATACACTTTTCTTTCATCGGTTGTGTACTTATTAAGGGATATTGGCAATATGCAATGAGCATACCAGATGGGCTGTTTCATGGATATGATCGATTTGGACAAGGCCAGATTTATTGAAGCTAAAAAAAAAAGTGACTTGAAGTAAAGGTAAATATTAAGTCAAAAATATGTATGTTAGTTAAGCCACTGTCCAGACGGGACTCAGCTGGGACCAAGAATCACGAAGGGCAGGAAGTGAGCTCGTTTTCTGAAGAGGTGGACACACATAAAATGGCCCCCAGCGCTGGCCGGAGATCTGGTGAGCAGTTCGTACCGAGGAAGGAATTCAGGCAGGGGTCAGAGAGCGGCTTCAGAAGTGGCTGCCGGCCGGCCCTGTGAGATAATTCCGCGGAGCCAGGCACGGCAGAGAGGAGACGCTGTGGGGGCCTGTAGCCGGCTAAAAATACCCCAACAGCTTCTCCCTGTCACCCTGCCTGGGGGCCGCACAGGAAGGCCATGGCCTTCTGCTTTTCTCACCAGGAAGAAAAAAGACAACGACACAAAGCTCCCGAGCACCAGAAGAAACAAAACTTAAATATGTGTTTTAGTCTTAAAGATTCCCACCAGGAGGGGTTGGCTGGCTCGTGGCCGTGCCGCAGGGTTGGGAAGACGGGGCCCCGGATAAATCAGGCATCCCAGGGTGTGCATCAGTGGCTCCAGAGGCCGTGGGGATTAGCCTGGCCGTGGGGGGACGGAGGTGGGGGGAGTGGACTGCGGTCTTTGTCCCTGGCTATTCACATGTGTCCTGTCTCTGTCCCTGTGTACCCAGGACGAGGAGGAGGAGGAGCTGCTGGGTGTCAGACCGATGCTGTGAGGGGTGTGAGGAAGAGAGCCACCGTCCATCCCTCAGCTACCAGACCTAGAAAGGTAACAGCAGACCCCTGCTGCGTGTGTGCTACCCGGCCACCTTCACCTGCCTGGCCAGGGGCCTGGTCAGGCAGCCAGGTCACCGTGGGGCTGGCTGAGCTGAGGGTCATTGGTCCCCACATCCAGCCCCTGACCCAGGCTGTCAGGCTTCCATAACTCCTTGTGTGTGTCTGGTACAAAATGCTGCTGGGCTTCAGTTTGTCCATCTCGGAAATGGGTCACGGTTTAGTTCAGTTCTTGAGGATTCTGTGACTCCGTTGGACCTGATGGTTATGTGGAGTTAATCTGGCTCAATAGCCCGGTTCTGTTTGAACTCTGTGGGTGTGGCCAGGGGTCCAGCCCCTGTGGATGGAACATTAAGGGTACACGTCAGCAGGGCTAGATGGGGCTTGAGAAGAGAGAGCTTTCCGAGGCAGAACTGGCCAGACATGTGAGTTGTTGGAAATGTGGCCATGATCTCCTTTGTGGCAGTATTTGAAACTTCAAAGCGATTTTCCTGATCGCTCTGGGCAGGAATAATTATCTGCATGTTTATACTGCAAGACCTAGGCACAGGGAAATGAGCGGTCACACAGCAAGCTCCACTCACACCATAGAGGCTCAATTCAATCCTGTCTGTTGGTATCCGTTTCTACACATCGACTCTCACTACACTGCTCTGGTCTTGGCCACTCACCACATAGAAGTCCGCCTGTCGAGCCTAAGCAACCACTAGTCTTTATTGTGTGACTGTGGTGAGACCCATCCCTCTGTCCATCCCTACATCCATCATCCATCCTCTCACGTAGCCATCTTTCCACCCATCCATCCTCCCACCAAACCATCCTCATATCACTCCTCCGTCCGTCCATCTGTCTACTCCTCTGTTCACCCACCTATCTTTCCAGCCATCCGTTTACTCATTATTAGCTCACACATCCAACACTCACTGACTCCTATACCGAGCCAGGCCTACGCTAAGGGCTGGGTTTGGAGGGTAGGTATCGGATCTAGCCTTGCCCCGAGATGTTGCAGTTTGCAATGGAGGCAGGCCCAACTCCGTAAGTTCAGTGCTCAAGGCTTGTATCGTATCTCTGACTACACAGGGAAGGGAGGAGAAGAGGCTTTGTGCAGTTTCTGCAGGCAGGCAGTCAGGGAAGGCTTCCCGGAAGAAGTGGCATCGTTCATTTACTCATACCCCAAGTGTTCAGGGACCAGGGGCTGTTTTGGAGACCCAGCAGGAGACAAAATGATCAAGACCTCCTTTCCTCATGGTGTTTACATTCTCATGAAGAGGCATGGACAGAAAAGACTTGAAATGTGATATATATTATGTCCAGTGATGCCAAGTTCTAAGAAGGGAAGTTTGTTGAGTAAAGGAACAGAGTAAAGGGGTGAAGTGGATGTCCTCGGATCAAGGAGGATCACAAAAGGCCTCTGACAAGGCAGCTTTTGAACAGAGACGTAAATGCAAGGAGGGAGGAAGAAAGGTGCTTGCACATTCAAGGAAGGAGCCAGGACGCCATGTGGCTGCAGCGAAGTGAGGGGTTGGGAAATCCCCTGGGGGACCCACTCGTGGAGGAAGGCAAGAGTGGAGCAGGGAGGTGGCCGGGACCCAGGTAGAGGTGGTGGCAGCTGGGTCTAGAGCCAGCAGGGGAAGGGGCTGGGAACTGTGGGAGTCCGAATGACTCCAAAGACCTCGTAGAAAGGCGTGCGTGTGGATGAGAGGTGTCGAGGAGAGAAGATGGGGATAGTCAAGGAAGGCTCTTGGGTTTGGGACAGGAGCCACTGGTAGAACAAAGGTGGTCATTTACTCAGCCACGGATGATGGTGGGGCAGGGCTGAAGGAAGCTGAGGAGCGTGTCTTAGACACATGAACTTGGAGATGCCTTTGAGACACCCGAGTGGGAAGCTTGAGCGGGCAGTTGGGTACAGGAGTCTGGGAGATGGAGAGGACCTGACTGGGGATAGAAGTGTGGGAGCTGCTGTGCACCAAAGAGGCTGCAAGCCATGAGGCTGATGAGGTCACGTCGGGAGCAAATGGAGAGGGAGCCGATGAGAAGCCTGAGTCCGAGTCACAAGCGTCCAGCCCTTGGAGGGAGAGAAGGCAGGGTGGGGACGGCAAAGGAGATAGAGAAGGTGCAGCCAGAGATATGGGAGAACTGAGACAGCAGGCTCTCAATGAATGAGGAGAATTTTGCTGGCAAAGCAGGGAAAAGACACTCCAGGTGGAGGGAACAGCATAGAAAAGGCTTAGGGGCCTCAGTCAATGAGCCATATTTGGAGAGGGGTAGAAGAGAGAGGGGAAAAACCAGAGCAGCTTCCCCCTCCACATCTGGCTACACAGGGGCAAGGCCCATGGGCATCTGGCCTGAGTGTGAGCCCATGTCCAAGGACCCTCTGTGTCACCTAGGCCAGCATTCCCTGGTCTCAGTGGAGTCTCCTGCCCCAATGTCTGCACACGTTGCACTTTCTTTAAAGAAGTTTCCACCTGTCCTGACCTCCCACCTCCTCTGTGAGGTTCTTGGGCTCAGGAGACCTCCCCCTTGCCTGGAGCACTTGTCTGAAAACACAGGGCTCAAGGCAGCCGCTTGGAGCTGCCTGCAGGGGGAAGGGCACCCAGCAGCTTCCTATTGAATCTCTAAGCATTGCTGGATCCTTTATCTTAAAAGAAACTGTAGAAACTTCCTGACTATGAGTGTGTGTCAGAGCTGCCCGCTCCCGATCACCACTTAGAGCAGAGGAGCTCGATGCCTTTGGTGGGCCATTGTGTGCGAATTTGGTGGGGGGAGGCATCCTCTTTTGTGAGTCTGTGGGGCTTCACACTCCCTCGCAGTGGATGCCCACGGCTCTGTCAGGGAAGGCTGCGGAGCTGGGCTGCTGCCCAGGGCAGGGAAGGTGCATGTTGTTGGGGCCCAGGAGTGGGACAGGAGGTAGAGTGAGCATGAATCCATCTGGGGGCCTCCCCGGGGGCACAGTCCAGCACATCCACCTAAGGGCACAGCCTCATAAGACCGGGATGCGGCCAAGGCTTGGGAGACTTCTCTGCACTGAGGATAGGATGGAGCCAGGCAGGGACTTGGTGGCCCCCCCAGTCCTTCTAGGAAATGCGCCTTTGACTCTGCACTGGGGACTGGGGAGCCATGGGCAGCCGCTCTGATGCTTCCCAGCTCTATGGCAGGAGGCTGTGGGTAATCTAATTAGTGTACCAGGCGGATGGGACAAGTAATCCTGCCTTCAGACTCACTTTCTAAGCCGTCCCCACCCAATCTCTCCCTAAATCCTTCCACTGCATGGGTGATGTCGGGTGGGAGTGGGCTTATCTCCATTGAACAGATGGGTAAAGCAGGGCCAGAGAGGAAGAAGCTTGCATGATACCACAGCTACTAAGTGGCAGGGCAGAGCTCTGAACCAAGTCCTTCTGAATCCCGAGCCCAGACTCCTACCTCTGCCCGCCACCACCTCCCAGGCTCTCCTACAATATCCCAGGCACTCTCATGTGAGCCTCATCGTCAAATTCCTTATTTTGCAGATGAGGAAACAGAGGCCCAGAGAAGGTGAAATACTTGCCCAGGGCTACACAGCAAGCCAAGGGCAGAACCTGTACCAGAATCTGCCCTGGTCCCCTGCGTCCACCCAGCCCCAGCCCCCACTAGCAGGTGCAAGGATGAGGTCCCGGACCCTGCCCACTTCCTCTTGGAGCACCCAGTGCCTTCTGTCCTCCAGCAGCCTTCGGCACTTGCTCTGGTTGAAGGCACCAAGTTCCTCATCAGAAGGCTCCATTGTGCCTATTGTTTAAATATAGATTACTAATGAAATGCCTTTTCATTGCCTTCTCAGTGAATAGTTTCCGTGTAAAGTTAATTTGCAGTGTTATGTAAATTCTGTTTAACTTCAATCAAGTTTCTAATTATGTTTTTACCGCAGTAATTCCCATTTGATTTGTCATCTCCTGTTAGGTATTTAATGTTCGGTGGGTGGGTGTGCGTTCCCTCTGCCTCTCGGTTTTCCAGGGCCCTCTCCTTCTCTGACCCCGGCTCCCTTTCTGTCTTTCTGCTTCTCCTTCCTGCCTTCCCATCCCTGCCCCTTGCTTCTGGGTTATTCCCCACATCGTCTGCTTCCCCTTGCTCCTTCCTTCCTTTCTTCCCCTCCACTCTTTCTGGCTGTGTCTGCCCTCCTCTCCTCCTCCCCTCTACCTCCCTCCCGCCTGCCCTCCTTCCTGCTGTCAGCTCTCCTGGCCCCCATCTCTGTTTCTCCAACCTCTCCTCTCCTGCCCTTTCTCTCTGTGTTTCTCCCATCTCTCTCCCCGCTCCCGCATCCTACCTGCTCTCTCTATCTTCCCTTGTGCCCTTGCTCTCCCCCACCCACTCTGTCTTCCCCCCTCATCCACGCACCCTGGGGACCCTCCCAGAAGCTTCCTGGGACCGTGGGGGTGTACATCCCTAGGGACCCCTTGTCCGGGCCTTTGTAGAGGACCAGCCAGCCCAGCACCCAGCCCCAGGGACTTGGGGTTCTGGTTAGAACATAGACACTGGAAGTGCGCTGTCAGGGAGCAGATCCCGGCCTGCCCCATATTAACCCTGTGACCTTCAGGTTGCTGAGCCCTCGTCTGTCGTCTGTCGCATGGGGTGACAGCATCACCTACCTAGTGGAGTGGCTGTGAGGATTCGGTGATACAGCATAGGCTGAAGGACTTACCCAGGCCTGGCCGGAAGTGGCTTGTATCTGAGAACTCCCAGCCACGCCCCTCGTCTCTTTGTTGCCTTCCTGAGGTGTCTGGAAGGTGGGTTTCTGTGTCCGCTGGCCTGTTGGGAGTCAGGCCTGAGGCCAGGGCAGTGGGCTGATGGCATCCCCTCCCCCCACCAGCCAGTCTCAGCCCTGCCTGTCAAGAGACATGATCCCCTTCTCCCTAAGTGGGCTGTGGGGACAGGCCTGCCATTCTAGGGAAGTATCTGAGACACAGAGCCCCAAAGCTGGAAGAGCCCTCAAAACCCTGGTCCACAGACCTTTCCCGAAAAACA